GCTCATTAGAGGATGAAAATGCTGACTGCAGGAGACCGCCAGTTTTAGAATACTAAATTCTGACTATCCTATTAGTAGCAGCTGCTACTGCTGCAGTGAGAAAGAATATGTTCTAAAGTTCAAAACAATGAATCAAACAAAAATATTACAATGAGATGACTGAACCACCAATAAAAAAAAAACAGAACAAAAAAGTGGTTTCATTTATTTCAGTCCTCTTCTTTTGGAAGTTTGTTAACATGTACTTGTTTTGGATTCTAGTACATTGAATAAGAATAAGAAAGACAATACCTGAACAAGTTGCTAGATCTCAAACTGACACTGTGTTTGTAGAGGTGTATGCTAAATGCATCACTACAGTTAACATCCAACACATCAAGACCTGAATCCTCAACCATAATGTTCCCTAGTATGGAATTGCATCTACAGCATTTCAAAGGGCAATGTTCTTCCCCCTGGCCAAGAGACAAAATGAGTGTAACGGAATTCAAAAACACGGAATACAAGCATACACTGCACATATGGTCTTGAATGAGCATGTACAATGTAATATAATTTTAGATTGTATAGAACTGAAAATCATGTTATTGCATATTGTATACTATCTACTAGATCCAATTTGGGCCCACAGTAAAAACGAGTGGTCCCAGGTGAAAAAAGTGCCACATTAAATAGGCCATTTTGGCCTCAACTTCTGCTAAAATGGTGGAAACACTGTTCACTGGAAACTACTCAAATCAGTAAATAGTTAGAACAGTAATGTTATACACCATATCATTGGATCTCTGGATCCCTAGATCACTGAATTATGAAGGAGTAGTGGTCATACACATGCATGCAAAATGGCTGCAAATCTAGCCTATGCAATAAATCCTTAGAAATAATTTATTATTTTTTACTTACTGGTAAAATCTGCAAACTGCCAGGCTTTATAGTTGAACTATGCAGTTTAATGTAGTATTCACCAACAAAACAGTCCTTTTCACCAGGTTCAAGAACTCCTGCAACAGAAGTTAGATGACTGTTTCCATGACAACACCAGTCTTGAGCCAATTCAAGCCAGTTTTCTGATGGTAACTCCAGCACCCTTTTGAACTGCCTTGAAAAAAAGAATACATCTCATCCTAGAAAGAATTGGTTTTCAAGTTTTCCTAATATTAATAACAGTGTTTTTCCAGGTAGTTTACATTGCAGACTGATTGATTTCTGTAACGCCTCTCTTGAAGGAAAGATATTTTAGGATAACTACAAATATGGCACAAACATACTTTCTTGTATTTAGGAAATCAATTTGCACTTACGTCTCAGGTAATAAAACAGCAGAGCCACACATCCGGCAACAGAAACTGTGACATCCATTTCTTAACTCACTCAACTCTTCCTTCAAATGCCTGTTGACCAATCTCTCTTGTGAGTCATTTGAGTGATATTCAAACTGAAGTCTCATTTGAACTTCACTTCCTCTACACATTGAAAGCCCACTACATGTCCTTGGGATCACACTAAAAGCAGCTAATGAAATAAAAAATTGATCAACAAATTACATTGTAAACATGAAAAAGAAATATGAAAAATCCATTACTTCTCTGCACACATGCCTAAAATTTCTCCTTGAGTCTTCTGATATGTCACTTTGAGATTTCTATCTTGGATAATTGTGATATGAGGAAGAAAAAGTATGAATGTTTCATTTTAATTAACTACTTGCTAGACGCAGTTTTCAATTGAGTATCATAAAACCAAAACCAAACCAATTACTTACTGATTAGACCATTCAGTGAATCTCAAACTGTAGTATGACCAAAACCAAAACCAAAGTAATTGCTTGATTACTTTCAACACTCGATAGAAAACCGCTCTAGGAGGCATGTAGTGTACTCTCAAAAATAAATGCTGTAAAACATCTGAAGTTCTGCATGATTTGTATGTGTAAACATAGCACAGTGGTATTCAGTGCAGCCAGACATGTCACACCATTGTAGAAACAGTTAAGTTATAGTCTGTCTGTAAAAACAGGGTCCCAAAAACTTGTTCTCATATCCCACTGGTTTGCACGGATGTTCATCTACATGTACATGTATGTATCCACTTCTAATTGCTAGTTTTCTAGTACATGCTTTTTGATTCCAAGGACAAATTTTTGTGTAAAATCCATCTCAGTTGAGGGGACAAATTGGTTTGAAAGGCCTGACAGGAATTCTATGGTTCATAAAAATTCCCATTCTGTGTTAGTTTAGTCTTCCAACCCATGTTCCTCACATGATTGTCATAAAGGGAATTACATATATATGAACTGTATTATTAGGAAGAGATTTTAGACAGTGATAATTGCTGATTTATTTTTAGCCTTGCTGGTTTATTATGCAAGAATTTGTTTGATCAAAAAGTGTACCAGAAGTGAGCCAATCAGAAACCCTGGCTTTTGCTAACTTTGAAATAGATTTTAAAAAAGAAAACATTAACATACCAACCTGCAGGGTATCAGAACCATCCTTTGCACTTTTGGGTGCATATAGGGTACATGTAAGTGTTAATTCATGTCTAGTGGTTATGAAAGGGATCTCACACAGTAAACCAAGAAGCTTGAGCCTACACTCTTGCAAACTCGATGTAAAGGAAACCAAGTCCCCAAGCCTACTCCTAGTCAAACCAAACCTGATCTGCCACTGAACTGCTAAGTGCTTGTGACTTTATCTCCCTCGCCCCTCACTCCTCACCCCCTTCCTCAGGTAACCTGAAAACAGACTGTCCGTGGACCCCAACTACAGGCCGGGTCAGCAGACTACCCTGTTGACCCCCTCTAGAGACAACCCCAAATAGAATAAAAATAAATAAAGATTTCACTTATGGGTTGTCTAATAGATTACTCATGTTGGTGCAAATGTAACAGACTTCAGTTTCTAAAACCCCAAAAATAATGTCAAAAAGCTGTTTTCGGCATAAGGAGATGCTGATAGGCAATGGCAAAAAGATGGAAAGTTCTTACCTTCCATTCGTGGTTCATTGTGACTATGGAAGATATGTTTTTAGGTCGTTTAAGCTTGTTTGCATCTGTAATTCTGCTGAGCAAATTGTGAAGCCTGGGAGAATGGGCTGAACAAAATGGCAGAGAGAAAGGAGCACAAATTTCAAGCCTTCCCATTCTTTCACATATAGCCACAGCAAAGGAAATGGCAATGAGTAATGATGTAACTTGGGCCCGAGCCTGAACCCAAGTCTGTTACATTTACACAACGTAACGTTCAAAATTTCAGCGACACAAGTAATCTATTAGACAACCTGTAAGTGAAATATTTATTTATTATATTTAGTCTATTTTGAGGGTGGTCCAAAGAGGGGTTCCCTAAGGGTAGTCTGCATCTGTGGACTGATCCGTAGGAGTCTGTGGGCCAGTCCATAAGGGTAGTCAATAGCCTGGTCTGTAAGGTTGTCTGCAGGCTGGTCTGTAAGGGTAGTCTGTGGACCAGTCTGTAGGGTAGTCTGTGGACCAGTCCATGGTGGGGGTCAGCGGACTGGGGATCAGTGTTTTTGCGTTACCCCATCCCTCTCCCTTTATTGGATGAGACACTCTAGGGTAGGCTCGAGGAAATCCTGAGATCTTAGTTCTGAAGATTCGGTGAAACAATATTCAATAGTTTAATGTTCTCTCAACCTATCTGCTGTCATGCTGGCAAATGCCACAGTTGATAATGTTTGTGGTAGAATGCTTGAAAAGTAAGAAATCTCGACAAGGTTTAGACAATAAATTAAACATGTATGAACAAACCCGTTAGCGTCTCCCACGCTATTCTTGAAACACAGAAACAAATATTTACCTGGATAAAGTACCGTGCTCTCGTCTCCTTCTGTATCGCCATCTGCAGATGCGCCGACCACATGGCCATTAAACGTCAAATAACGTGAATAAATTTTAACAATTTTCTTTAAATTGCCATCTTCAGAGGTTTTTTCTTTTGTGACATCTCTTAAGCTAACTATCAAATACGCTGCATTTAAGTTCTTTCCAACATCACACCAAATCGGCACAGCACTTGAATCGTCCGCCATTTTGAACATTTGGACGAGACTCAGTTCCAGTACCTTCTCGGGAAAATTTCAAATTCGTTCCAGTCCAAAAGAGCGCTTTCCCGCGCAAAAAGTTACCTCATATCGTTAGTAAGGTTCCTCGAACTGAAGCACTTTGTCACGAATGTTAACCTCTGTTTGTGCTAATGCTTGTGCCAATTCCATTGACGGCTAATTTTGCTTGCACATATTCCTTCAACAACGCCTTCGCTGGAGGAATTATGACGCGGATAAATAGCCTGCATGACTTTTCCGCGCAAGTGCTTTTGTTTAGCCAGCGAAGCCGCAAAGGCAAGCAGCAAAGTTGAGCAGCATTTGACTTTTTTCGCAGACGCAAGTTGTCCGTATTTGCTCCATTCTATTTTACATTCATAAAGCTAACGTGCATGGGAGTGAATTCACGCGAGTAGCTAAATTTCCATCGTCGTTTCAGGAGCGTAAAATATAATAGACAGAATTTGCTTCAACTTTTCTAAGACGCGAGCCATCAGTTACATATATTCTCTTTTATGATCTGGTTTTGCGCACGCGAAGCCAGCTTATTCATATTCATTTAAGCCCATGAGATAACGCGTCGACGAATCCAAAGAGCGTCCACAAAGCAAGCTGTGAATACTTTGTGATTTCTTATTTCTTCCTATTTCACAGGCTTTTCCAGGGGATTAGAGGGAGCTGAGCGTGGACTCCGTGGAGCGCGATTGGTGATAAAAGCTAGTCGAGTGTGGAGCGCAATCAGGATAAGCTTTAAACGATCGCATGTTTAATTTTTGATTCATTTTGACCATTTTCTATGGTGCGAACGACTGGGTAAGCGTCAGTCCTTGTTCTATCCAAACTCGACCGACTCCGCCCTGTTTTTAAACTGGATTTTCACTGTGCTGTAAAGTAACGGAATTAGATTGGGAAAATTCCACCGGATTTCAGTAAAATTGTCGAGCCTGGCATGATATATTCCTTGCAGGCCATGTGCCTGTGTGCTAACTGACGAGAAGGCGCGCGTAACGGTATTTATTCAAAGTTAAGAAACAGTGTCACCTTCATTAGATGTTTTATTAACAGAGAGGTTCTACAGGATTTTCGCTAATCTGAAATTAAAAGTTAGCCCGAGTATATTCTTTTAACCTACTAATTTTATTTTACATTTTGAGACCGAAGATCCCTCGGCTATATCGCTTATCGTAATGCTACTTTGAGTAACCAAGACAGGTGTGATTTAACATTATGTGCAGTAAAAAAACTGAGGATATTAATTGCTTGGTTGCTTTCGCCCTATTTTTTCTATAGTGCTTTATTATTCTGGTTTGTTTGTCTTTTTCCCCATTTTGTCATATTAAGAGTATTGTATCTTTTTACACTGTAACTTTTCTAATATTTAAATAAAACTAATTAACTAATTTTCTTCCAGTAATTTTATACATGTGATTGTCTGACCAGCTTTCTTTGCACATGGATGACATACTGAGAGTTCTCTGCATAGAAAATACCAACCCAGTTGTAAGGCAGCCAATACTGCTATCAAAAATTAAAAGTCATTCTAGGTTTAAATATCTCTTGTTTAAAATGCTTTTCACTAGTCGAAAGCGTAAAAAAATCGGACGTAAACGTTACAAACAGAAATAAAATTCGTACTTTTCCTAAAATAAAAAAAACTCGATCAATTGTGCTCTGAAAAATCAGGCGCATATTTTATCTGTCATAAATTATCGTCAATTAACTGTAAAAGCAAGCATGAAACGCTTTTTTGACCATTTGGAGACAACAACAGACTCCATACTCGGCACGTTCATCTTCATCCTTGTCGCTGTAGTCACGTAACATCTCCTTTGTCTCACGCCATCTCTTGTTCAGAACTTCCAGTCTTCCCTCAACTGATTCAGTAGTCGTCATGTTGAGCGACTCGCTAGTTATTTCCTCGCCAAGTTTATTTATACGTTTCATCTTAAGTTCCTTTTTATCGATCTCTTCACAACACATCTTGGGACAAAATGACAAAAATTCAGTCAGACTTCAAGCTTTATGTAAAACGGAACCAAATTGTTACAGCTGTCTAAGAGAATCTTTTGTCAAACAGTTTACCAACATATAGCATTTTTTGAAAGTTTTTATGGGTAACTTGAAGAGGGCATAACATCTTTAAATAATATTTGCTTGGTGACTGGTAACTCCTACAAGGCAAGGTAAATGTAGAACAGCGTATTGAAGCCTCCAGTTTCTGTAGCATGAAGCAGCCAGAAAAATTTGTACTCCTTCCAAATAGGATTTAGTCTATCGCAAATTCCCCCAGGGTGGCCTCCCTAGGTCTTCCAGGTTTTCCTGGGAAACTCTGGGTAAGATAAGGGTACTTTCCAGCGCCTTGGTACTAACTCTTAGACCAACAATCCTCACGCACAATAAAATGTTTTTTGATAAGTTTTGAAGTCCTTTTAATTAATAAGCTGTCCCACGTGTTTATCGGTGATTAATTTTTATTGGAGGCGAAGTGCTATCACCTCTTTGAAATGGGAAGAAGTGAGGGACATAATTCACCAACCTTGATTTGTTGAACTCTCTTGGAAACTTCAATGGGATCCATTCCCACGTGAAGTGAATTTATTAACTTCTCGGTATCGTTCATCCAACTGTTCATGGACTGGACGTGTGCATCAAAATCAGTCATCTTCAATTCTAAAAACGACTGCAAAGACATAGGCCACGGTCTATAACAATGTTTCATATTGCAGGTAAGGGTGAAAAAAAAAATTCTGAATAAGTTTACCGGCAGTTCAGAGGGTTAAGATCCAAAGGAGTTGGATACTAACTGAGCAGGCCATCAAGGAATAAAGTATGTGTGTATATAACTGCTATGATCAATCATATCTTCGGAATCATTATTACATAAAAATATTTCCCTAAATAGATAGGTTCCCAATTGTTTAAACGAAGCCATGCCAAGTGACACAGCCTCGATCTCTAAGCTGTGTAAGTGTCAGACCATTTTCTAGGAAAAGCGTTTGGTTTCGTTTACGTTTCAAACGTTCAATCCAGACGTTGCATGGTTCACAAATGTTTAATAACTGACGAGAAAACGGTACTTTATGATCTGGGGAATGTTTGGTTACAAACATGGAGAATGTTGTTTAAGATAATTTTTTGAATGCAGCATCTTTTCAAAGCCATCGAAAGTGGGTTTATAGAGTGATGTTTGATTGGTAAATTGATAATATTCAAATCGAGTCAGTGGAAGAATCGCAAGTAAAATGTTATCACTATGGATATGTTTCTTTTGTTTCTTATATTTAGTCTTAATTAAACTTTTAGTTTCACCCCGAAAGAGGAAAGAGTGAAAGGCAGGCATTAAAAAGCAGATTTTCCGAAAGACTGAGCTAGGTTCTTACTCTGGAAGAGTCCAGTTCTGCAAATCCTTCATCAGATATATCATCTGCAAGCAAGTCGTCCAAGGACTGAGCAAGCATGCTGTAATCATCGCTTATCTGGATCGTTTCTTCTTCAACTGGTAATGGTGATTCATTTTCCCTCTGATTGAACTCGAGAAGCTCAGTTGCTAGTCTACAAAGAAATGGAAATTTCAGATTAACCATCAAAGTCCCTTTTTCTTCATAATGATTTCTTCGTATTGGCCGTACATGTCTAGTAGGAGACTAAACACAAATATTCAATAAATTCTTTCACTCCCGGGTGCCCTTAAATCTTCCAAACTGAAAACAGTATATCGTGAAATACTTTGAATACTTTGAACTTTAAATGAATTGATGTCCATACAAATCCATTGTCATTCTCAAAATTCAGTAAAATATACCTGAAGAAGCCGTGGCAGCCAATACCGCAATAAAGTTTTCTAATCACTTTCTTCAAAAAATCATGGAAGTCGGGTGCTACTGAACCCAAGGTGTTGGGACGGTGGAAACTGAGACTTTCATTTAGCAATCTTTCCAATATTTTTTCGCCAGCTTACTGTGAAACCTTTCTGCAATTTTAAGACTTACCTGTCGCCATTCTCCCTGCTTAAACCCTTTAGCCTCCTTTGCCTTTCCATAAGAGCACCCGTTTCCTCGTGAACCTTTGCAAACGTTGCTTCGTCTATCAAACCTCTATCCAACAAGTTGTTAGTTGTAGCATTCACTTGCTTGATTGGGGCATTGTACGAGTCTAGATCCTCCATCAGTCTCTGAATGAGAAGAAAGATGATGAAAAGGTTCAAGTTTCAATCCTGGGTATCCTTCTGGCCCTTTTAGTTTCACATTAAGTGTTACATTTAATTATTTTTAATTAATCAGGGGGATTCTTTGGCGGTAAATCCAGTAAACATCCACTATTTGATATTTCTCCATTTCCGCTACTTGTCTCGGCGTTGGCAATGCACTCGTTGTACAAAGAGAATTAACAGATTGGGGTGACTCTTCCAAAAGGAAGGAAAAGCTGGTTGCGATAGATCCTAAATACAAATTAGAGCTAACAAATCACATAGATATACGTATTAACACTCCAGCCGACTTTCCAATAGTCTTTCAGACTTTTCAGAACTTTTTTCAGTAGTTCTGAGGCCTTATACTTTACACGGCCAGAATGGGACCAGTGATGTGTAAGGAAAAACAGTGTAACAAGTTAAGAGAACATATGCCGTTATCTTTACCTTCTGTTTGAGTATATTTTCTTCCAAGGACAGGCGTTCATCGTCGTATATCTCGGGTGTTTTAATTTGCTTCTCAATTTTGTCAAATTCCTTGTTCATATCCTGCATCGACTTGTTATTAAGATCTATGCTGGCTTTAGTGATACTACAATATATAATAATTAAAAGAAAAATATATTCATTAACAACCAAACGAATATTCTTCGAAACAAGAGTATCAAGAGAAATTCAAATCTCTAGTGAGTTTTGCATCCATGCAAAAGTATAATACCTTTACCGGCTGTGAGAGGTTTTCTTTCGACTGTCTAAAACAGGTGACGAACTCTGTAACTGGTTCATAAATTTTGTTCACTGCCTTAACCAACCACAGCATACATCTATACATTCTGTTTCCAGCCAGGAGCAAACTAATTCTGTTTAGGCATACAGCATTTAAAAGCAATAGGCTATACTCGTATTCCCGGTTTTGCATAACCGTCCAAACAGCGTTACTTGGGGAAAGAAAATGTTACCAATTAAAGGAAGGAAAACGTCAGAAATCTAATTCGATTGCTTAATTTCGTTTCGCAACTGTTGAACAAAACGTGCTTGTTCTTATTGGTAAGACCAGGTTGCATGAACAGTTTCACCCAATCACGGAACACAGCAAGTTAAATAGTGATCAGTTAGTCGAAAGCTGTTCTTATTCTGTAGTATATATATCACAAGCTAAGCCTGTAAGTGACTTTGTTTTCCCCTACCGATCTTTGTTAGCGACGTGATCTCCCATCAACTCATCCCATCTGGTCTTTAGGCCTTGCACTCTCTTTTCCAGGATTTCACAGTCTGCGTCCTTGAACAAGTCTTCTTCTTTAGCTTTCTCAAACTTGTCTACTTCTGATTCAAATTCAGATCTTGATCTCTTCAACTCCGCTTCGAACGTCTAAAAAGAACACAATCTACTTTCAATTTTTCACTAACAAGTTTTAACTCTAACACAAAACATTTTGTCATATTTCAAATCGCTACAGTAGTCGCGTTGAAAAGCAAAATTCTCAAGAAGTTTTAATTGTGATTACAGTACAAAGGACGAAAATCCAAGCATGATTGTAAAAAAATGCAGTCTTATCGACTCACGTTTTTACTAATTGCTAACATCAATCAAGAAGACACGTTTTGTAGGTCTTTTGTAAAAAAATCCCAGACTCACCATAATCCCCTCCAACTGCTTGTTGAGCTCGCTCCAAGTTGACCCAGCAGCTAAAAATTTCTGAAGTTGTTCCTCGTCAAGATCGTGAAGACACTTTTCACATGACTTAAGAGACGAATCAAAGGATTCAAAAGCAGCTTTCTGTTTCTCCAACCTGTTGGTGCAACATATACCAACGATCCCTCGTATAAACTAGTGTAAAACCACAGTCATACCTTTACAGTCAAAGTGAAGTGCTTAGGACCTAGCTAGAACGTTTATCTAGGGGACAAAGTTACCTTGATTTGTCCTCCTCTGACTCTTTATTTGTTGTCATAACAACACTTATCGGATCCAGGGAAGCATTCAAATCCACTGACGCTGAGCTTCTAACAACTTCCTTCACTGACACCTTAGGTCTTCTTTCTGTCGGCTGAAGTGTGATGAACGAAAAGAGGTTAGCGGATTTTGTTGCTTCTAAATAGCAAAACTTTCAAAACGAGTCCAGCCCGAAGTTTTCTCACTTTTATTTTTAACCTGGAACTTTATCTTTGACAAGGAAGACATGCAGAATTACTTTCGTGTAACTATACATAATTAGAATATAGTGGGTCAGAAAACAGGGTTATCAATGGGGTTCCTTGTTTAATTAAGAAAGTATAAACTTTTGACTACCTGAGAGCTGGCTTCCTTTCTTTGTTGCATTTCACGTTTCTTTCGCATTGATCTCTTTCTCCTAAAAGATGAATTTCTCTTTGAGCTAAATCTTCGAAGGATAGAGTGTCCCTGCTTCGCTTTTCTTTGTCTTAACCTGTTAATCTCGGCGTAAATCCTACAAAAAATGAATAAAATATCATTTATTTCCCTCCACAGTAAATTATCTAGATAACTTAAAACGTCTTTGTGTATTTTTAACTGGCTTCAATGTTCTTCAGCCGCTTCAAAGAAGTCAGTTTCTTTCAGAAACCTTATATTAGTTGGTATGATAAAAGAACACATTGAAATAAGTGAAGGTGTAAGTTCTTTCCACTGTCTTTTACAATACCTCAATTATTCCGCGCAAGAAATGGAATTACAGCATAAGAGACAAAATAGCCCATAAACAGGGTTGAGAGCTTCCCCCATTAATCTGCTACACAGCATGAAAGAGCTCAACCAACTCAGTGAAAATTGTCAAATGTAAATAAAAGTAATGATGTCGTTGCTTCTTTCTTGTCTTTCTCTAGTGAATGGCTGGAACGTCGTCAAACAAGCGTATTTGCGGCGACTCCTGTTCTCTGATTAAAGCTCACTTGGTGTTTTTTTATATCCTCTATTTCTCTTGCACGTGAATTCCGTTTTAAAAGACTCTAAGTAGTGCCAAGAAAATATAGACGTTTATCATGGCGGCCCATACTTTTTGAGCTCCACCCACCTCCATTTCCGAGTTTAAATTGTACTGTTGTTTGTTTTTTCTTAGTTATTTCTGCCTACTCTATTTCTTCCATATCTCACCGGTCCCGGCTTGCATTGAGCCGATTATCGATCGATTCCCATTTTGCTACGAGGACATTTACGACGCGTTCCAACTCGTTCGCGTCTTCCTCGTCCAGCCGACCGCTCTTCATGAGTGCAACTGCTATGTCGTACATGTTCTGCAATCTGGTTTTAGATTTCCTAAAGTTGTCAAGCACTCCCTAAAATGGAGACAAATATTCGTATCTTTTTAAAAAATAGAGCGTTTCAATCATTTTTTTAATATTTGAATTTATTTTAACACAATCGTTCTAAATCATGCATTAGTTTAGTCAGTAAATGAAAATCAATTTTGCCGTTAATTTGACGACGTCATTTTCCTGCCAAAAACCTTAGAATAAGAAAAAAACAGAAAATGTGCATTTGTTTGGATTTGCACTGTCTATCACACTGCAGAGTTTGAGCTCCATCAGATCAAAAAAGCAACAGAAGTCACCCATTGTCTATTTTTGGCCGACAGCTGACCCGGCGTGATAAGTATTTCTAGATGAAGACGCAGTCATCGTGATTAGAAGTGCATACCTGGTTTTCATGAAGCTGCAACCTCACCACTCGAATCGTCGTTCCCAGCTTTTCTGGTTTATCTGCGTGAGGCTCGTATTCCATCAGCCACGAATCCGCGACTTCAGAATTACTTAGCCACAGATTCAACTTTGAATATTCCATTTGCATCTCCAAAACGAACGCCTCGATGCTAGAAAAAAGAATGTGGTGATGAAATCAACTGTTCAGCTGTGAAGAGGCTATAAGATACGTGAAAGTAAGTGAACCCTAGCACTAATCTAAGAGCGGCATGTCAATAAACTTTTTTTAAGATTTTACTTTAGACTTGAAACATCGACAATTACATATTGGTTTACAAAAAAATATCTTAAACCTGGCACTATCTCTTGTACAACTAGGCCGAAAATGACGTCCTTTCTCTTGAGTTTATGGAACTAGATATAGATGTCGCTGTTGATTTTGCCGGGTGAAACAAGATTCACCAAAGTTAACAATTCAAAGAGACCACTACTTTGAATTCTCGTCAAAAATCGCTTGAAACCTCTAACTTAAGTTGAGTTTACATGTAGCTCAGGAAAAGGAGAAAAACATGTCAAGCTGACATTGACGCAAATCTGCTGATGACAGTCTGAACGAAAGTTACAAGTAATTCGCCTCACAAAAGTTCTTAGAAGACTAGGTTTCTTCACTTAACAACTGACCCATCGCAACTTTGTTTTACAAAAATAATCCCCTATTGGTTGTCTAAGTTACATCAACTGCCCTCTCTGTCTTTACCTGCTGCAGGTATTGAGGACGTCTCCGCAGAGTACATTCCATCTTATACTTATTGCTGCGAGCTCCTGTCTCGTCTTCTCCTCTTTGTTTTTGGGTATTCGTCCTTCCTGCAAGCTCGCATTGCCAACCTTAACGACTTGATTAACTGTGTCGGCTTGAGCTGAGATTTCGCTGATCAAGCTCTAAGAAAACAGAGGAAAGAGAACTATCCATAACTTCATTATGGTATAACGAGAGTGTTAATCACTTTGTTGCTGCTGTTACAATTGCTGTTAGACAGGTTTCCATTTTTTTTAAAGCTAACTGACATTCGGTATTTAAAAAAAATACGTTTTATTCTTCCCTATTAATTAGAGGCCACTCTGGTAGCTTGGTTATAAATCAAAACGCTGTTTGGGAATGGCCGGATCTTTCATTCCAATGGTAGTGATAATGGTAATAGTAAATTGATATGGCGTAGTTTCCATCTGCAAATGTTGAAATGCGTTTTACAATTCATACGGGGCGGGGGAGGGGTGGTTCGAACGTCTCCAGGAAATGGCGCATCATGGCAGCCGCTGATCTCACCCAGCTATCCAACCATGCATGCATTCTGACAGGTAAAACCTCAACACTAAGAACTCTGCTTTATACTTGTACGTCCCCTTCTCTTGTCGAAAACTGAGGCTTTTTGACATGTCCACCGGATAATTCCTTCTTATTACACAAATGCAAAGTACGTTAGAAATTAATCAATTCCCTGGAATTAAAGGATCAATCAATAGAGACAGGAAATCAGGGATCTTACCTTGTAATTTGTAATATCGCTTTCTATTTTGTCGAAATGAATACACCTTTTGGATTTCCTTCTTCTTCCAACTGAAGCTCCTTGAATCTTTGACTCTCCGGTATTCTTCTGTTTCTGGATTTCTCTGAATAGTTCCAAAGCCCTGTAATCAAAAGTTAAATGAGAGATCAGTTTATCATCGGTTTCCTTTACACTAAAGGCTAAGTCTTTCAGAAGACCTCTACATAATTGATATTGATTTTATTAATAAATGTTATAAGTTCTCATATTGATATTTTAAGTATGATCCAGGTGTCGGTCCTGCTAAACTACACTTCGCAAACTCTAAAGGTATGGTCGCAAACATTTTTTTGGATAGTATGATTGAGAAGGACGGAAATGATACCGGCCAGAATTTTGTCCTGTTAAATCTGCTGAACAAAGTCTGTGCTTATAGAACATTGAGAAAGAAAATAGAAAAGGAAAACATAAGAAAGAAATGGGATCACAGTTACATGGAAAAAAAGGTTTCTTCTACCTTTCGAGTTTTTCTAGGCCATCAGGGAGGTTATTCTTTAGAGCAACTTCATCACCTCTTCCAGTCTTATGTGTCCTGAGTGAAGAGATTTTACGGCCCTGCGAAAAGTAAAATGAAGCTGACTCACCATGAAATGTGAAGGCTTGTTGGTCTTCGTTGGCCCTTATATTTACTACATACATGGATCATAGGGTATCATATGTAATGTAATACTGGACTGCATTAATCCGATTGTGGACTCGTAGTCACTTTTCCAGAACTCTTGAAAGGTAAAAAAGGTAAGAAAAAAAAAAAAAAAAAANAATATTTGTTTCTTATTGTCATTCTATTTTGGAAGGTGGTCTGTAGAGGGGGTCCGTAGGGGTAGTCCGTGGACCGGTCCATAGGTAGTCCGCGGACCCGGTCCGTAGTGGAGGTCCGCGGACCGGGGGGTCAGTGTTTTCGGGTTACCCTTTTGCGTGCCTTGCTGTTTAAAATCTTTGATTTTCGCATTCAGCTTCATGTTTTAACTTTTGAACACAGGATTTTGGGATAACTTTAAACCTCGGTTGTAAGGAGGGAAGTTAAGATATCGTTCAATTCCGCTCCTCAGACACAATAATGTCGACTTTCCGTAGTCTTTGCCTTCTTTGTTTCTGGCCTCGGCGTAAAATCCTCTCAAGTTGTTGTCAAGTTCGTCGTCACTTTGTTCGTGTGGTGGCTTTTCCACATTTTTGTGCTGGGCCCATTCTGAAAACAAATAACGTTTGATAACGTTTGATAACGTTTCATAGAATTTGATTGAAATTTCGGTATTCAAACCGAGCATTTTCTTGTAATGAACTTTATTCGTGAGCTTACCTTTGTAAACAGAAACTGCGAACGAAGTGTTGTACTTGTCCTTTGAGACTGTGCAGAGTCTAATAAAACGTCCAACTCGCTTGCTTCCAAGCTTGCAAATCGTTGTTTTTTTCTTTACCGGTTCGTTCTCGACTTTGTGATTGGTATTCAACATTTTTGGACGTATTCTTCGTGTTCTTCACACTGGAATGCCGTGACTAACGCCCGTGACTACGACAACTTTTTTGTGTTTCTATCGAGTTATAGAAACACGACTCTTAACCAATCAACGCGTGTATTTTCCTTGGGCTATTTTCTAAAACGTTTTAGAAAACACGACGGGAGTTTCTACGACAAAAAGTCGGTTATTCCCTTCATTCTGCATAAATCAGTCTCCGGACAGAAAATTCTTGCAAACGTTGTGAAGACTGTTATGAGCTAATCTTTTCGATAAATCAACCAATCAACCACTTTTCCGGCTGAGTTTATTGTTTTGTAATTTCACTAAATATACGAAACACGTTTGATTTCTCTTGCTGATCACCTGATGAATCAAGTGACTTTTCTTGCACTGTTGCACATTTTGGGGCCAATCAAGTGAGAATTCAAAATTGTGAAGGACTTTCTGCATTCATCTTTTTCGGGCTTTTTTATCCTGCTACTTTGACAATTATTCCCACAGTATCTGTGGATAGTGGTGGATATTATATCCACCAAAAGCCACCTCCATTGCGGGAATTATTCTTCAAATTTATTATTGTTAAAATTATTTACCTGAAGCGTAATTTGAATATTATTTTTGTCCACGGCTTTGCAGTAATTTTTTCGGCCGTAGCTTTACCAGTCGTTTAAAAAATCGAATCCAACGTCGAAAAAATACTGTACATTACCATTTTGTTTTCTAAAGTCTTTAAAGCTGCATTAAATCGGCGATCTGTATTAATAACACTTTTCGGCCATCGATGGAAAACACCGAATTTCCAGGTAGTATTTGTTCCCCATTTGAAGATTCTATGAAACTTTCGTATGCTCATAACGAACCCTTCTCTTTGAACATTTTAACTATCTCTTGTAGCGGTACCGCAGATAGACGGGCTTACGGTACAATCAAGTTACATTGAGGGATCAGCGGTCAGTATCACATGTACAGCATCAGGTGTACCAGACCCAGATGTACAATGGATCAGAAGTGGAAAAGTGAAAAATTCAGGGAAGAATACAGCGTTGTTGACTTTCAGTAATATAAACAAAGCAGATGGTGGACAGTACACCTGTAGAGCCAGCAACTCAGTAGGAAGTGCTGAAAATCACACGGCACTTGTGGTTCACTGTAAGTAATGTTTTTGAATTGCTGAAAATTATGAATTGATAACATTAATGTGATATTTGATATTATTTTTTAAAGAGACGGTCTCTTGAAAGGTAGACCAGTTAGTTCCTGATCGAAAACTACAATGCATTTTTTTTTTTTTTTTGGTGAGTGGACCTTGTGTGTTTGGTAAGTCATTTTAGCGCTGAAAGTAAACAAACTGCCTTTTTTACTTGGAAACTACGTTAGCGGCTTTTCAAGTTCTAGCTATGGATGTGAATTTCACTCCTTCCTTCTGTCCTTCCTTCTGTCCTTCCTTCGCTTCTTTCTTCGCACCTTCGATTCTGTCAGACATTTCTTGCATCCATCGACCTTCACAGCGGCTCACGAGTCGCCTGCACGTTATTTGACATGCTGCATATAAAACGATTTCCTCGCCCGCTTGTTTTTCATTAGTAATGTTTGTCATTTGCTCTTTGCTTTTCTGTCGTTACTCAACATCTGACCAAAGAAATAATCTACATAGAAGATTTTAGCACGAACGTCTCTATAAGTCTTAAACGTGAACAATAGGAGCTAGTAGAGCATTTCCCGAACGTGTCCATTTAAAGGAGAAGGTCACTCCAAAAACCGTGTATTTTTTTCCATCACCAATAAAAAGTTCACATTGAGTTGAGTTACTCACCGTTGTTTTAGCTTCTGAAGTGGATGCGATCCCAATGACAAAGAACTGAAAAGTTCGACAACGGGAGCCGCCATTTTGAAAGGATCTTGAAGGCCAGGCCGCATATCCGTGACGTTAATCCGTCCGAATTGGCGCGAAGCTCACAGGTTAAAGTTCTTTTTTTCTGTTCTAAATTCGTTTATCCAGTTATGAGCTAAGATGTTTGGCCCCGGGCTGTAAAACCCCAACCGAAAAGGATGGGGAACAAGGAGTGACTTTCCTTAATTTGCCTGGAAAGAACAAAAAATTGCCAAAGAAGTGGTTCGAATAGCTAAGTCGGGATGAGAGATTCATGCAAAAAAAACTCGAAAATGTGTTTTTGTGCAACGAGCATTTCACAGACGACTGTTTCAAAACTGAATACCGATTTGAGCTTGTGGGTGGGAACACAAGATGGAGGTCATTGAAGGAAAATGCTTTCCGACAATTTTCAACGGAAGGCCCTTTGTAAAGGCACGCATTGCAAGCGAACGGCGCATCGCAAGGAACGAAAAGAGGTAACTATCAGTTACACTTTTCATTTGTAACAATATTTTTGCTCGGCAGAACTGTCGTTGACTTGATTTGGTAAATGTTATTTCTGCGCAAGAAATTGAAGCTCCTCGCTGGACTACAGGGCTCGAATTTCAAGAAAAAACCTTGGGGCCAGCTGTCCCCTAAGTTTTCAGGTTTGGTCGCCAGCACAAGTATTTTTATGGCCAAAAAATTTCGACCCTTCAAACTTAATATATTTTCACGAAAAAGACGCTAAAACGGCGTGAATCACGGGTTTTTCATGTATAATCAGTTTGCCACTTTTTTTCCATAATAACAGGGAAAATGGCTCAATGAAATTCTTTTCTTCATTTACCAGTCTTACCAGTATTTATAAAAAAGCTTCCATGTTGCAAGCTTTAGTTCATTAGTTGTCGTAGACTGGTGGCGCTAGGTTTTTCGTGTTTTCGTGNAAACCGTGTATTTTTTTCCATCACCAATAAAAAGTTCACATTGAGTTGAGTTACTCACCGTTGTTTTAGCATCTGAAGTGGATGCGATCCCAATGAAAAAGACGTGTAAAGTTCGACACTGGGAGCCGCCATTTTGAAAGGATCTTGACGGCCAGGCCGCATACCCGTGACGTCATTCCGTCCGAGAGTGTGTTTGTTCTTTTAAGCTTTAGTATGGTTGCTCTTGAAGCCAGAACGTGCTAGTGATTCCGCGGGAGATAATAATCAAGTTGAATTGAATGATAGGTTGGAAAATGCTCTGTGGTGTCCTTGTGAGAGATGTGCAACCATACCGACGCAAAGAGACAGATAGTGTTCCGAGACAGATTTTCATGAAATTGTAATGTGTGTCGCATTAAAGATTTGTGTCGATTCATCCAAATCAATCAGAATAAGCGATGTCAGTAAGAAAAAAAAAAAAAATAGTGCACTCTAACTTGAATGAAACAATGCATTAGGGTTTTTGCCTTTCCTTACTTCCTCGAATTTACTTCTTACCCTGACAGAAATAAAAGGATAGCCGGCTATGAAAACAGAAAAAGAGAAAAACAAAAACAAAAACAAATATTGAACAGAGTTCTCGGTGAGACAGACATTTTTTCATCCATTCAGGACTCAATTCAGAGCCAGCCTAGATTGAGGGATAACAAAACCTTCCCTTTGAAGCCTTTTAATTGGCTTTATATTAATCACTGATGTTCTTACCACATTTCTATGTCATCTGTGATCCACTGCTGAACAGATGGACGGCAACATGGAAGATCTGGAAAAGCTGGTAGTGGTCTAGGCTCGCTTACCAGCTGCTGTTTCGGGAAATGAGCCCTTGCTCACACCCACTCGGGGAGGAACGCAGCCAGACCCGAGAGAGCGGCGGAAATCGAGCCTTCTAGTGGACGCACGAGCGAAAAGGCGAGCGCGTTCAGCAGTTTTCCTAAACCTGAAATATTGCCTTAGAAACATGAATACTTCAACGCACATGAGTATTTCTATTCACCTCTAGATGGAGTGCTAGTCCATTGCAGGGCTACATCCAGCATTAAATTCGCTGCTACTCATTCAGTACAAATGGGTGGAGAGAGGCACTGTGAGAATAAAGTGTCTTGCCCAAGAACATGGCTACGAGGGGAACGGGTCAATTCTGCAGACTCAACTATAATAACAGCTATTGCGCCAATAAAGGCCCCGTGCACACCACGACGGAAAAATTTGGAAACGGATGTTTCACTCTGAAAACGCATCAAATGTTTTTCGTCCTCACTGCGCCGGAGGAATTTGAACACCAGACCATTACCGGTCATTTTGGATTTGTGTTTGAAGAAACCCCTAGCATGGTAATCACATGATTATCGTCACGTCATCGTTTTCGAAAAGCTCAGTCCTTTTTCAAAATGTTCCGTTCACTTTTAAAACGCAAACCCAGCGTTTTTAAATTCCCCCGGTGTGGAGAGCGTTTTCGGAAAGCTCCGTTTTCGTTACCGATTAGCAAGGACGGTGAGCCTAACCGTAAAAATAAAGCTGCGTTTTCAAGTCCTCAAGCTCCTCCGTGGTAGTGTGAATGAGACCAAATTCAAGCATCACGCACCCAATGACGTCATATGCCCCCTTAAAAGGCAAGCCATGTACTCGTGCTCATACTCGTCCGCAGAACCTTTTGTCTCGTTCGTGTTTTTCGTTCCTGCCTTCGACGAAAACATGGGCTGTACTTGAGGAGCGATACGATAATGTCAATGAAGTAGAGTCGAATCAGACACGTTAACACAATAATTAACGATACATCATCGAATTAACCCATACAAAAGGACGTTTCATTTTATTTCTTTTATCTCTTACAGAGTGATCAAATACAACTGAAAGTGACTCAATTTCAAATGAACATTAACGAATGTTACGAATGCTCAGTGTATAAAAGGAGTCCCGATACTGATCAGGTAAAAAAAAAAAAAAAAAAACAAAAAAAAGAAAAAAAATGTATTAATAAACGGGTGCAATTATAACAAAAGTATATTATCTGTCAGTAACTTACTTTTGATGCAAGTTCGTTCGTTGAAAACGTCTGTTTCAAGGCTCTTGTTTCAAGGATCTTCAGAGCACGACTTAACTTGGACAACTGTTCCCTTAGATCCTCGTAAGCTTGCTTCATATCGCTGGGTAAGTAAGAAAGCAAATAAACACTGAGTGAAATCTTGAAAAGGAAAACATTGAGAAATAACTAAAAGAAATAAGAGAATATAAGGATTCTTATACAATTACTTCTCAAATAGGTGATTACAAAAATGAGCATCATTTTTAATTGATGATTACTCTGGTCCATTTGTTTTCGTTTGTTTTTCTACTTGGTACAAGTTTGCTCTCCAAGGCTTCAGTCGGACAACAGGTGGACTAAGGCAGTGAATTTCCCGGTTAATCTCAAGCACAAAACATTAATATAAATATGAGTTTTCTGAATTGAATTGGCGTTTTGTTCCAACGGTACTCGAGGTGAGATTTGGTAATTTAGCACATAGTTCTTTTTATCCCTTTGTTTCTTTAAGTTTCTGTGGATGAAAGAGTTCATTTGAGTTTGACGCAAGTCTGCATATTGCAGATTCCTTCTTGTCCGCAGAGAATGGATAAACAAACCTGATCTCGATCGTGTACCTAGTCTTGTTATTTCATCGGTAAATTTTCACCTAATTAATATCTCTAGAAATAAGAATTAAGGTAAAACCAATATTTTTTGGTTTTATTGGAGTTTGACCACAACGGCACTCCTTTTATAACGTTGTATTATTACATACAGTTTCGATATCGGAGAACAAAACACGATTGTCACACTTGAGTAGAAAATACCAAAAACTAGCTCATTAGAGTCAACTTTTGCTTTGTTGCATTGCAGCTCCAGCAAATAATTATCGTTAAGACAGATTAAGAAATGAAGTCAAGGGGTTAGGTAATTAGTAAGGGATTTCTGGAACTTTTAATTCTTCTTCTTCTTCACTCCTTGCAAAAACATACTAGTTTCTCGTTTACAGAAACTCCCTTAAATCTCACATAGAGGCACAGGCTTACTTTATTTGGCTATGTTCAATTCATAATTTTTCCACCTGAAAGAGTCAATTTATATATTAACTTTCCGCTATCCACAAAAGAACAATTGGGGAACGACTGAAGTAAAAACCCTGTGTCCATATTTCGAAAGTTGAGGCGAAAGATAAGGTGACCGAACATCCCAAACGACCAAGTGATTTATTAAACAGAAAAGTATTTAAAATAAAAACAGCTCGAAATTTTGACCTATATTTGGTTTTGTAAGGAAATTTTCGTCTCGTCAACTTTCAGTAATTGATAAAACAATGCCAACTAAATAAGTCGTTTGTCTTCACTTGGATAAACATGGACGCACCTTGTTCTAAATGTTTCTCGTAGTCATTCCTAGTAAAAGTGCTCTTAGATACAGAACGTTTATAGAATTGAGACGAAAACTTTCATGGGATCCAGTGCTGCCGTCAAAGAAGTTCGTTTTTTGCAATGTTCATCGACTTTATCGATGCAAGTAGTTATGTTAGTAAGCTCAATTATATTCATTGAGTTGAATGACAGTGTTCACAGGAGGCGTTAATATCTACTAACAAAGACAAAAATTGCGTGCTGTAGTTTCATTACTGTTTTGCTTGAACAAAAGTAGTTTGCATAAGTTTGCCAATGTTCGGTGTTTTGGATCCCTATAAAAGCTCCCCGTGTGGCAAAAACAAACTTAGCGAGACCACTTAGTGATAAAAAAAAAAAGGAATACGATCAGCAAAAAGAAACTTAGAGAGGCCACTCAGTGGTAGAAATTAAATACGATCAGTGATTGTTACAGATTTCACGGATAGTTGACTCCGATATTTGTAACCATTGAAGCTTGAATGTCAGCTTCAGTCCGACCTTTCAGTTTCTCTGTGTTTCTATGGATGAACGAGTTGATTTCGAGTTTGACGCAAGTTGGCATATCACGAATTCCTTCTTGTCCACGGAAAATGGGTAAACATGATTTCGATCATGTACCAAGCCTTCTTCTGATTTCAAGGTATTACCTTGTCCTTAATAAATGGTAAAGCTGAGGAACGTTTTCACACAATTTGAAATATTCTCTTTAAAAACCCGTTATAAATTATTCCAAGCTCTGACCACGCAATTGGAATGGGCGAGAACAATTATCCGTTGGCCTGCATTTCAAGGCAGTTTGTTAATGCCAGGAAACAGGTTTAAAAACTTAGATCATGAGACTGTGTAATGAAAAAGAACTGAGGCCAACGGAAGGCTTAATGCACTTCTCACAAGATTAGTGACCAAATATGGACCAAATATTGATTTTAAGAGTTTGGTGTGCGATACACTCGTTCAATTAAGTGACTGGTGCTAATACGAATAAGTGAATACAAGATTACAAAATCAAAGAGAAATCGTGACAAAAGCAATCTCATTATGGCCAAACTGACACAACTCGAATACGCCGGTTAAGTCAGTATTACGCAATATATAGTTGTTTTACAGTTCCCATAGACTTCTAGCAGTTTCGATTTAAGTGTATCTGTTTATCACTTGAGACGAATGGTTAAATTATTCGTTATTTCTTCAAAGCGATACCCCGTTAGCGAAACCTCAAGGGGTCGAGATAACTGTTTCCTTGCAGCAGTGTCCTGGCAGAATAAGAAGCTTGTGCATCAAAAAACGTTAG